TATTATGTGTACAAACTAAGGAGAGTGACAAAATCCCAAATCAAAACCATGGAAACTAGTAGATATTTGTGCTCACTATCCTAAAATGAAGAAATTATAGTGGGGCAATGCCTGGTGGTGAACGCGCTAATCATATTTAGACACGTGGAAAAGAGTAAATGTCCAATTGAGACCTTGAATTTCTTCCTCTCTGGAAAACAAAAAAAATCCGGCTAAGGCTTCAAAATCCACGCCGGAAACTGTACTGGCGATGATGGCAAGCAGAGGAGTCCATTTCTTCTCTGAAATTTTGCGGTTATCCGGCGAATCTATATTTCGAGGCGTTTTAGGAGGCGGATCAGGGTAGGGTTCGGCGAGATTCTGATTTCAATCACTGAGCTTGAAGATCTCGAGTTCGTTCCTCCCCATCACAGGGGGTGAAGCAATGGAGGCTAAGGATGGCGTTGCGAATCATCGGGAGGAAGGTGGAAGGTGGGAGGTGGTTATGGATCTTTAAGTTTTATTTTATTTTATAATAAAATAATTTTTTAAGTCCTAGCTGTAAACAATGAAATGTGTGTCGAATTTTGAGTGGAAATATCATATGCTGATGTGGTAGTACTGTATTACTTAATAATTTCTTTATAAAGTGATAGTGATGTTCACTACTCATCGATTACCGTTAGATGAATTTAATATCATTTATCTACTATACAAATTTTAAAATTTAAACTAGTTTAAAGATAATTAATAGAAAGACGAGCATCACCAATTTAGGATGGAAAACAAAAATGTCTCCGTCTTTGAAATACGACCTCCTCCCTAAGTTGGGACTCCTCAAAATACACAACCAAAACGCTCTCGAAGATAAAGGGCTTGAGCATACCAAAGAGAAATCGATAAAAAAATATGAACTTTTTAAGTAAAAATATATATAATATTATATATGAAAAAGTAATTAGTACTATTGAGACGACCCAACACATATCCTCCACTTCCAAGAGAAATTCGCCGTGACTTTTGGAAAAATACCAGCACTGGACCATGACCATCCCACTTGGGAGAAATTTTTCATGGTTCCCGGAACCCCTCTACAACGGTATCATGTGGAGTACCCAACTAATGAAACATATTCGAAGCACATGCGGGTTTTCATTCATCGTTGACATCCCTACAATGATTTATGAGTATAACGCAGCATGTATCAACCAGATTAAAGAGGATACAACAAAGAAGACAACACCAAGAACATTGCGCTGAAATTCTTCTTTTCACATAAACTATGGAAACCAATATCTTCTTGACTAAGAAACAGATTAGAGAGAGAAGGAGAAATGCAGAGAGAGATTGGATTGGGATAACATGTTTCTCATTACTTGATAATGTTATTACACTAGAGTATATATACAGCTCATGACTTTGTACAACAGTACGCTTAGCTAACTATGACTAATTACATGTTGTACCACTACTCATCTCAACTAACACTTTACTATTATAACAAACTAACAGTTTTGGATATTGAGGCATTTGCCTCAATATAAACAACAAGAGCATCAGAAGATTGAAGTCAAACAAATATGTTTCCAAGACAACCTAGCTGATCTCTTTACCAAGTCATTGCCACATTCTAGTTTTTAGAAACTTGTCCAAGAAATTAGTATGCTTAAATTGTCTGATTTGAATTGCTTGTAGTTTTCATTTGGTAGTTTTGTTAAACTTAGAGGAAGTATTCAAAAGTATACTCAGTTGATCTTAATGGACTCTTTTTCCTACGATTAGGAGCATTTTTCCTTTGAGTTTTTGATAACTGACTAGGTTTTAAAGATGTAACCATCCTAGGCTAGTCATACCCTTGTGAGCTTTCTACTTGCATCCAGAAGACATATAGTTTTGACTTAATGCAAACTTCTCTCGTTTCTCCTTAAACTATGGGTTTTTGTCTCATACTAGGTTTTACCATAGTGAGGTTTTGTGAGTTTTACTACCAATGCAGTATTACGGATCATTTGAGACTCGCATTCGTTTATTGTGCTGATGACTCCATCAATTGAACTTACTTCATCACTGAAGACCTGATACAACATTTTGTTTGAGTATTTATACACTCAAGAAGGAGTGTTGCGGTTCTAATTTAGTTAGGAATGTGGTTGTGTAAATCCTATTGGAATTCTATAGTATCTTTTAGATAGTGTCCTATGTTAGTTGTAATACCTAAAGGGTAAGGAATTTGCCTTTCCTAGCACTGTAAATAAAGAAACAATGGAAGTAAGACAATACACACATTAGAATTCACTAAATCTCCCTCTACACTAGAGCTACACCCTTCTTTCCCTCTCTATAATTTTTCCAGTGTTCTAAAAATCGGCCTAGGCGCTAGGTGGTGGAGCTTCGACCCGATTTAGATCAAAACGTTCAGTTAGGCGGAGAGGACATAGGCAACCGCCTAGGCTCTCACAAGGCGGCGCTAGGTGGCAGTTTAGGCGGTTTGAATCTACAACTTCTGATCTTGTACGTAGCAGCAAAGTCCCGAAAATTTTTTGTAGCTCGTCTCTGTGAAGATGAGGGAAGAGAGAGTGTGACGAAAGAGAGAGCTCGTCTGAAGATGAGGGAAGAAAAATTGCTGCTAGTGAACTGCAGTTTGTCTGTGAAGATGAAAGAAGGGAGAACGCAAAGAGAGAGAGAGAGACTTAAACATTTCAGACGGTTTTAATTAAGAAACTATCTGTAGCTCGTTTGCAGAGGTGGGTGTGGTCTCAAATCCAAGGTCAAAAGCAGATGGTTTTAATTATGAAAACCATGGATTGTGATGGTTTTAATTATGAAACGGGTTATGTGAAATAGTAGAGGTGACTAGGTGAGGTGGACGGTTTGAGTGGGTGGGCTTTTTATAATTGTAAAAGTTTGGGATATTTATTGTGTGTGTGTGGGTGTAAATCTTATATAAATTAGGGTGAAGAGCACAGGTGAGGTGGACGGTTTGAGTGGGTGTGCTTTTTATATTTTTAAAAGTTTGGGATATTTATTGTGTGTGTATGTAAATCTTATATAAATTATAAATTATTTAGATAATATTTTATTTTATTTTCCTAGGCAAGCATATCATATATGTACATAAAACATTCATATATGTATGTTCTTTTATAAGAAATAGCATATTAGTCAATAATTATTTACATTTGATATAGTAAATTTAATTAATTCATAAAATATATAAGAAATTTACCGAAATTTGCCTGGGCCCCACCTAGCCGCTTAGGCGTTAGGCGCTAGCGCACCATTCAACTAGCTCCTAGCGTTTTTTAGAACCTTGAATTTTTCAGTCAAATAAGCCTCCAACACATTCATCATTTTTGAAAACCAAAAAACAGAAGCCAAGAAGGATACCAAAAAACTCCTTAATATTTTATTTTATGCAAATTAAAATAGATAAAACTAAACTCTATCAAACTGCTGCATCAAACATATAGAAATCAAACTCACTTAAACCATTGTAAAAGGCCTTATGTAAGACGAAAACTCGACTTTAGTCCTTTGAACAAATGCCATGTTATTTTATGCATTAACTACACTATATGTTATGTCAATGAACATTCTAAAACTAGTGCAAGTTCAGCAAGACCGAGAATGTCAACCGTTGATGTTTTGTAGGATGATTATCCGTGAACGATTGAAAGTTGCGTGCCTGTTTTGTGTTCTTTTTCTGTGGGTAATGTTAAAAAGATTAAAATTTTAAATCAAATTTGGAAAACAAATGATGTGTCATCAATGTGAAATAAACACGTTAATCAACATTCAAGTAATAATCCAATCATTAACAACCACATCATTTGATTTATAAATTTAATTTAAAAAATTTAATCTTTCTAGCATTATTCTTATTTGTTTCCATCCACTTTCTGTCGTTGGCAACACCTTCTTTGAAGAGAACTTTTGTTCTTTTGTGTAAATATTTAACTTTTTCTTTCAATCCATGCCCATCTTCCTGTCTTATCCACGAGAGAGTGATGACATGCTATCCCATTTGGGATTTGTGGCTTTGCATAAACAGGAGACAATTTGGGTTGTCACATAAGATTTGGGGTCCTTTGTGGTTGAAAACTAATCTCTTGTGAATTAGTCAAATGCTCCATAAAACATAAGGAAAACTAATGAAAAAGGTTTGAAAATTTTGAGTTTTAACGATAAAGACGAAATAAAGGGTAAAGTGAATAGCACCAGGTTTGACTTTTTAGTGTAAAAATATGATTTTCGTTAAAGTAAATAGTACCGTGAATTTTTCGTTAAAAGTCCCTAAAACATAATAGCTCCTAAAACTTTAACTTGCTAAGAAAGAAAGATTATCGTGAACGTGAATAATCTTTTAAGGGCACTTATCTTAGCAATTAAAAAAAAGGATGAATTTTACGTTATAACTATTTTTTCATATTTGAACGACTATTTATTAGATCACTATCATATCTGAATAACTGGTATCGAATCATACCGTCAGTATTATATCACTCTCATACCTAAACAATTAGTATTATTCATAGGTAATGCTAGGAAGACTAAATTTGTAAAGAAAGTTTTGGAAACTAAGAGACATAGAAGCTGATGATTGGCTTGTTACTTAAACATTGATAAATATGCTTATTCCCATTGGTGACACATTATTTTGTTTGCAAATTTAGTCTCCTTAGCATTAGCCTCATTCATATTACTGTTCATGATTACCCTATCAACATAGTCCTAATAAAAATGAAAACAAAGGATGGCAATGGGAATGGAACTAAGATAGGAGCAACGATAAACCTAGAAGTCGTTACATCAAATGTTATAATACAATTAGGTAATGGACTGTGTTCTCCTTACACTGAAATCATTCGGATAGACCACTATTTACTTCCATGCAACCTACAAAGTGTGCCACGTGTCAAACAATAATATGAACCAAAAGGTCCACCAACTGAAAAGACTATTTTAGCCCCGCTCCTTGCAGTGACTTCGATGCCTTGAGTTGTTCGCGCAACGATCCGAGGCGTGCATAGTGATTGTATGACTTGTACAAACAGGAGAGAACCACAACCCCAAAGCTCCTTGTGACTGTATAACTATGCGATTATCGAACCAGAGATCAATCGCAGATCGACAGAGATGGTCAAAATCGCGGATTCGAGCAGATTTCAAGGCCTATGCGTACGGTCGTCGGAGGAATTTTGGCGCGAAAATATCCATGGCGGTTTCGCCACTCTCGTCGCCGTGCTCTTCGTCTTTGCTTGCTACTGTGCCAAGAGGTTCTTCTTAGGAAAACCCTCTGGCTCCAGTGCTTCTGCGGTCGGTCTATCGGATTCTGATCTCCCAACTTCTGGGTCTCGGATTCCGTCGCACAGGTGATTTTCCTTCTGGGGTTTGCCTGTGCTCAATTGAGTTCGTTTTGTTTTTCTCTAATTTGGTGATTTCTTGGTTAAAATCTGAGATTTTGCAATTGGGTTTTGTTCACTTGGTTTTTGAGTTGGGTTTTATCTCTATTCAATTGGGTTTCGATTTATTTTTGTACAATTTGGTATTTGGTGTTGATCAATTTAAGTTATATGATAGTTGGGTTTTGATCAAATTGATGTTTTCCTTCATTTTATTGATGTGGGTATGTTCATTGGGTTTGTTGTTCATCTCCAATTTTGTTAAAAATATAGTAGAACTTTGGGGTGATTGGTAATTGACATTTTAGAAATCCAATTTCGTGGGATCAAGTTATGATTGTGTTACTTAAGTGTTCGTTTTGTTTACTTCTGCAGCACCTTGGAACTGGTGACAGATGCAGATTTGAAGTTTCTGATTGATAACTTGGGGGAGAAAACGGGCGAAAATGAGAAATGGGAAAAGGTCATAGACAAAAGAAATGATATTCTATCCTACTATGCGAAGTGCTGCAAGCCTAAGGTCATTCATCTTGTGCTTAATTTGTGTGGGATTCAGATTCTTTGAATTGATTATTAAATGCTTTCGTACCCTTTCATTACCCCAAACTTACCACAGGCATCTATTCTTGGTCTGGAATCTGTAGGTCACACAAATACTTGATTCCTTGTTTTACTTTACTGGTTTTAGTGAATAAAGGCTATGGAATTGAGGTACTGTATCTTTGTTCTTGCATTCAGGATAGTCCTTTGACATACTTGAGTGTGACGATATTTGAGAATTGCTCTCCTGAGAAGCTGAGAGACTTCTACATGGACAATGATTACAGGAAGCAATGGGATAAGATGCTGATTCAGCATGAGCAGTTACAGATGGACAAAAACAAGGGGGTTGAAGTTGGTCGGACAATAAAAAAGTTTCCACTGTTGACAGCCAGAGAATATGTATTAGCTTGGAGATTGTGGGAGGGGAAAGATAACACCTTTTATTGTTTTATCAAGGTAACTGCTGCCGGAAAATAATTTACACGTAAATTACATCTAGGCAATCTTGAGTTGTGTGAAGTTTTGATTTTCCATGAGCCGGTGCTCCAAATGTTATCCAATGAATTGATATATCATATATGCAGTGATGCACATAATATCTTTTGCACTTCCCTCTCAGTCTCTCTTTCTCTAGCACAATGCACTTTTGTTTTTTTACGATTAAGTGTTTTTTTTTCCTTTTTCTGTTGGTGCTCTTCATCCTTCTAGAACTTTCTTGTACTCTTTATAAATTACCTGATATGCTTTCCAATAATTGGTGATACAGGAATGTGAACATCCTTTGGCACCACGCCAGAAGAAGTATGTGCGTGTTAGTACTTTCAGATCTGGTTGGCGAATCCGAAAAGGTATGATCCCAGTGAATCCAACTTTGTTGTTTCTTTTGTTCTATCTTTTCAATAAAAAGAATTTCCTTTGTTTTTATGTTTTCATTCAATTTTTCAGTTCATCCAGGTTAAGCTGCTTTCATATTTGTTCAGAAACGTGTATTGTTGACTATAAGTCGTATTTCAAGCAGCACGCTTAACTAAATTTTGTTTTTTTTTGGCTGAAATGTGCTTTACCAAGCTTTATACTGCTGAACATGAAGCAGTAATATTCTGAAGGATCAATAGTTTTCCTTACTGTACTTTTGGTGGATAAAGAAATGAGTTTTCTTCTTCTTAGGCGCTAGTTGCACGTATCAGGCAAAACACAAACGCACCACTTACACAAAGGTTTCTTTGGCTGAAATTCTGGTAGACTGAATTTTAAGAAACAGAAACTGTTTATAGTTTTATGAGTGTTAATCATCTGCTACAGTGCCTGATACTAATGCCTGTGAGATCAAGATGTTTCATCAAGAAGATGCCGGTTTAAATGTGGAGATGGCAAAATTGGCTTTTTCTAGGGGCATATGGAGCTATGTGTGCAAGATGGGCAATGCACTTAACAGATATACTACAATCAGCTCTCATCAATCAAGGGCTGCTGCTTCTGCTGTCACGTTGATTAAAAAGGCCAGGACAACTTTCTTTGATGGATTAGTATTGTTTAAATTTTAATATACATTGGTTATCTTGGACTCATGGTACATTTAAGGCATTTATTGATAGAGCTTCATCCAGTTTATCTTGGACTCATGGTACTTGACTGGTTTCTCTTGTATTAATTTCTCTAGAGAGTTAGTTGAGGTAGATGAGTTCTCTTGGTCATATGTCATAAACAAGTTCCACTCGATGCTTAGTTGTCTAAGCACCTGTCTACCAACTAACTTGGATATCATCTGGGATTCTTGTTTCGTAAATCTTGTCAGGATTGTGCTGTTTGGTAAGAGTTTCATGTTTTTGACTTAAGGGTTCTGACCGGCCTTGAGTGGTGATAATATTGGGTTTGTTTCACCTACACAAGGTTATTTACATCCGGAGCATATATTACTACATGTTTATAGCATTGTGCAGCCTAGATGAAAATTTGAATGTTTGCGTTAACTCACTACTCCGCTCATGCCTGTCTCTGGTGTTTTATAGTGGTGAAATAAATAGCGACCATACTGGGGCTTTTCCTGCCCCTATCAGTAACAGGAGTAAAAGGAACTCTGAATGATATCTATAGTTTACTATTCATGCTTGGTTTCTTTTAATTTCAGAGATACAAAATATCTGATCTTTCTACATATTTGTAATCTGCATGGTTGTTACTAATTGTAAATCTCCTCCACACAGGTCCACCCTGTACTAGAAGCCACGGATGACATGACCTCTCAAGCAACCTCAGTAGGAACTTCTGTTTGCAGACCAATTGCGGGCGAGGGAAGGAAATTGTCAAGAAGACCTTCAAAGAAATTGTTAGCCAATGGCCTGCTGCTTCTTGGGGGAGTGGTCTGCCTGTCTCGTGGTCACTCTAGCCTGGGTGCAAAGGTTGCCATTGCTTACATCTTAGCGAAGTGGAGTAAGCGTGGGGCTTCATCAAGTCAAAGCAGTGAAATTTCAGGTGCATGATCTTGTTGCCATCACAACTAATTTTGGAGGGCTGAGTAATGTTTTCTTATCTGGATTATTTCTGGGCCATCTACCATGGAGACCAACTACTATGCTCTACTTCTGCAAAAAAATGAGAAACGGAAGAAGAGTGGGGGGTAGTAACTTAATTGTACATCATGCCTTCCAAATTGTATAAATATCTGCCATCCTTTTACCACGCTAGCAATACAATGATCAATAGGAAAGGCTTATTGGTTCTGAATCTCCGACGCACCTTGTATGTCCTAGTCCCAGCAACTAGTCATTGTATGACCTCTTGCGGGATAAAGAGTTTATAACGTTGTCCGGCTGCAGTCGGGTAGAAGATTTCACCGCTCTTGCATGAAAACTCAGACCTATCTGCAATAAACTCAAAGCTGCTTTTGAAGTTCTTGGAACTGTTGTAAAGGGTAAGGTATTTGTACTTAGATGGTTGTATGTGTATGTGAGTATTATACTTGCATCCTTCATTTTCCCCATTAGTTATGAACCTGAGGATGTGTTGATATCCTAGTAAAGTCAAATTTCTGCAGACAATGTTTTGATCTAAGATTTCGATTCTTCCATGTTTCAGCAATAGTTGGTATATTGTTTCATGGAGCTAAGGTCCAAAATATGGAAGAAAGAGGTGTTTTCACAACTTTCTTGCCCAGTCAATTATGTTCCACTTAATCCTTGTTTCATGACCACATATCTTTCCAGCTAAGGAATGGGAAACCTTTCTCTTGTTACATGAATTCAATTTTCATTTCATCTGGGAAAAGCCTTCTTTTTCTTAATAATGTATTTGTCATTTGATCCAATAGCGTTCCATTAGATAGGAATAGCCTTGAAAAATACTTATAACTCTTAGATGGAGTATTAGAATGAAAAAATCAATTAGATAATGAACCATTGGTTCTAATCTATCTCTTGTGAGACGTGATCTTGCTCATGAGGGTAATGTAAATGGAGTCCTAAACTAGTTGTTGCTCGTGAGTGTAATGTAATGCATGTGTCTTCTATATTAAGGTGTTTGCGCATGTTCTAGTTACGTAAACACTTGTAAGAAGAAATTTGTGGATAGAATAATCTTCTCACAAGAGTTGGTTAGATAAAGTTGGATACGAGAAGATAGTTGTCTTGCATACAACGAGTGTATACATGATTTACTGTGTTGAGAAAAAGAAGTTGGGTATAACGGTTGCACAGTAAATAGTATATACAAAAATTAAATACTACATACGAAAAGGGCAAGATGGGAAATCCCGCTGGACATTTTGAAAGACAGTTGAAAAGGGCGGAAAACGTTGGGAGCTGTAAATTGTGTCCTCACGTTTCGCTGGAGACTGTCTGTTGCAAATGCTGTCTTTCTCAACCATTTCTTTTCCTCGTTGTCTCTAAATTTAGACAAAACTCAATCCCTCTCAGAAAAAAAAAAAACCAACCCAGAGATAACAACAATATTCACCAAAAAAATTAAACAAATTTAATGTTATTTAGGGTTGTCTTTTTCTCTCTTTGTAGCTTCTTAATCGATCAATGTCGAATCAAATCTAAACCACATAACCCAGCAAATTTTTTACATTTTTTGTCTTTATTTTTTTTAATTTTTTAATTTTATTTCTGAGTTTGGTTTCAATTTTCTGTGCGGGAAAGGATGATCCACTTCCACAACATTCTGGTGTTGTGGGTTGTTTTATTGGGGTTCTGCGCAACCGGCGTTTATTCGAAGACCAATTCTCAAGATGGTAACTCTTAAATTTGTTTTGGTCTGATTTGTGTTAGTGTATAGTTTCTTGTGTTTAGATTTTCAAATTTAGGCTTAATGTTGCAACGACGACAATTTCATTTTCAGATTGAGAAATTTTTTTAGAAACATATATGCAAATTGCGCATTACTAGTAGATGACTACAATTACGACATATATCGGGTGAAAAGATCGCGAGAGATGTTCCTCATATGATCACTTGAAAAGGCACGAGAACTTTTTCTTTAGAAACGTTTCATAATGGCCTCTAGATTTTTAGTTTCCTCGAAACGTTTCTAATAGCGATTTTTGGGGTTGCTTTACCTCTTATAGGCTTACATTCCGTTAAACGATCAATGAAGATAAATTGCATTCAGCTAATTAGGTACTTACATATTTACTTATATCGACAGTCTGATGTTTTTGTGTATCTTGCAGTATCTGCCCTTAATGTGATGTATAACAGCTTACAGTCTCGTTCTAAACTAAGTGGTTGGAAATCAAGTGGAGGCGACCCTTGCGGCGATTCATGGAAAGGGATAACATGCTCAGGCTCATCTGTAACCCAAATGTATTTCTCATTTCTAACATACATTCAGACTTGCGTTATTTGTCTCGAGTTCACAAGTTCAACCTATTTTCTTTCAATTTTTTTGCAGAGACTTGTCCGACCTAGGACTCAGCGGATCAATGGGATACCAGCTTGCAAGCTTAACATCGGTCACTAAATTGTAATGCTTAGCTCATTAGAATAGGCATTTTTCTTTTTGTTCGGTTTTCTTTTCAAAGTGCATAAACTGACGGATGTGCATTCCTTCGTCATAGTACAGTGATTTAAGCAAGAACAACCTCAATGGTGATATACCCTATCAACTGCCACCTAACGCAAAGTACATGTAAGTCTGCAGAAAAAACAGTTCATATTTTATTACACTGTTATAGTTTGTGCGCACGCCTATGCAGAGATATTTCCATTGTTGTCAATACTAATCTCACGACCTTGATGTGCAGAGATCTTTCTCAAAATGGTTTTTCGAACACAGTACCATATTCAGTATCTCAGATGTCTGACCTTGAAACTCTGTAAGTAGAACATGTTCTTTGTTCACATAATCTTCTAACGAAGTCACTCCCATTTCTAAACACTCTTTCGATGAATGCAGAAATCTTGGTCGTAACAAGCTCAATGGACAGTTGAGTGATATGTTTGGCAAACTTAATAAACTCAAAGAGCTGTAAGTTCTAACTTTGCATCAAAGGTCCCACTTTCATATTTTAACTTGATTACTTGAAATTTATTCAGAATGTAACCAGTTGTAGCATCACTTTCGTATTTGACAATTGATTCTTTACCTCTTGTACTCTCTTTTTAGTTCAGACAGAGATTTGCTGCTATACTTCAATTAAGGGTTAGTGACTAAATCGTATATCATGAAATCATGTGCAGGGATCTATCGTACAACTCATTGACTGGCAACTTGCCTCAGAGTTTTGGAAAGCTTTCAAGCCTCAAAAAATTGTAAGAAGCATTAAATCTGAATTTATATTTTTTTTGTGTTCAAGGTTCCTGGTTGCCAATCCCTTTGTCTTTGTGCAGGTATCTGCAGAACAATCAACTAACCGGTCAAATCAACGTGCTTATGTACACTCCCGTCGAGGAATTGTAAGTGTCTTTGATCTAGATTTTTGTTAGATAGACGAAAATTCATTTCGTAAAATACCTTATAGCATGTTTTGTTTGTTAAACCTTTCTAATGAAATTAAAAAAAACTTTTGAGTTTCCTTATGTACCCGCTACAATGAATTCATTATTGTCCTGGCAGGAATATCGAAAACAATCGATTTTCCGGCTGGATCCCCAACGATTTGAAGGGTATAAACATAAAGTGAGTAACTCTTTCAAAGATCAATGTAGGTAGTAGTGCTTGAGAAATTTTTTCTGACTTTACTAATTGAAGGTCTGGAGGAAACTCCTGGTCGTCTGGACCATCTCCGCCTTCTCCTCCTGGTGCACACCGTAATAGAGGGTCAGGCAAAAAGAGTGGCAGCCGCAACTCTTCTGTAGTCACCGGAGTTACCATAGCTGGAATAGCTCTTGCCGTATTGTTGCTGCTTGCAATTATAATTGCACTGTTTTCAAGAAAAAAACGTTCTTCTACTTCGCATCTCCTCGATGATGACAGGCTTAGCCAGCGCAAGTCGTTTCGTATCTATTCATCTAAGGATTTATCTAAAGAACTGACTTCTGACTACAAAGGTAATTTCTTGTTAAGAAATTTTTTTTGGTGGAAAATATATATAACCAGTATTAATTGTCTTTGGAATGTCTTTCTCTCCCTTTTTTCTGTCTCTTGATTCTCCTTTGATTTGTGTTGTAATGTGGGATCACTCTCGACTAACTAGACGATGTGCTGGTGACAGATTCTGCCGTTTCAATTGACATAAAGCCTGTTTCAAAATCTCCATCAATTGGTTTCAAGTCACTGTCGGGCCGTTTGCAATCCTTTGCCAGAAGAAGCACCTCTGTAAAAGCTACCGCTTACGCTTTGGCAGATTTGCAGGTTGCTACTGCTAACTTTGCACCAGCTCGCCTTCTTGGGCAGGGCACCATTGGACGTGTCTATAGGGCTAAATATAGTGATGGGAAGGTAATGTTTTACTATCACTATATGATTGCTATTTCTCAAGCTAACCTTTATAAGTTAATGTAATAAATTTTTGTTTCTAAAAATTTTATACCATATATGTGTGTCAGGTTTTGGCAGTTAAAAAGATTGATTCCTCACTTTTTCAAGGCTCACTGCCGCAAGAATTTTCTGACATTGTCGTCAACATCTCCAAGATTCGTCATGCCAACATCGCTGAGCTTGTTGGCTATTGTTCAGAACATGGCACAACATGTTGATTTATGAGTACTTCAGGAATGGCTCGCTTCACGAATTCTTACACATGTCAGATGACTACAGTAATCCTCTAACTTGGAACACAAGAGTCAGAATCGCTTTAGGCGCTGCCCGGGCTGTTGAGTAAGTGAATATATATACTTGTATATCTAGCAATTAGTTATTTTGGTTTACCAGGATTTCTTGTAATAATTGTAATAAACTCTTTGTAACTTGTTTCCAGGTACCTGCATGATGGTTGCTCTCCATCCACAGTTCACAAGAACATCAAATCATCCAATATTTTTCTTGACATTGAACTCAATCCCCGTCTTTGCGATTATGGCTTGGCAACATTTCACCAGGTTAATTCCCGTCGCTCTTAAAACTAAATGCAACCTGTCATATATAAAGATAACCGGGCTTTCCTGTCTATAGAGAATACAATTATTTTCATGCATTGATGGTGATTTTTCCTTCTTTTTATCAGCGTACTAGCCAAAACCTCGGGATGGGATACAACGCTCCAGAATGCACAAAACCATCAGCGTTTACAGGAAAGAGTGATGTTTACAGTTTTGGAGTAGTCATGTTGGAACTATTGACAGGTCGAATGCCTGTTGACAGGTATGTTAAATTTGCGTATTACTCTCCCTTCCATTCACGCTAATATTGTCGATGTCATGCATTTCTAAACCGGTTTGGTTCCTCTCTTTAGTTCAAAACCACCGGCGGAGCAGTGCCTTGTACGATGGGCAACTCCCCAGCTTCATGATCTCGATGCATTGTCACAAATGGTGGACCCTGCACTGCGTGGACTCTACCCTCCCAAGTCAGTCTCACGGTTTGCTGATATCGTTGCCCTCTGTGTTCAGGTAATTACTACGTACTAGTAACCACACAGCCAAAAACACACTCGCATAGAGAAAGGGATCTATATAGTGACTTGGTTGCCTTAAACCCACTGGTTAGGCTTAACTTAAATTTGGATATGGTACTGCAATTTATACCACGTTTACGGATCACTACCATCCTAAACATTTCTCTAATAGCGGTGGGTCACATCAAAAAGGTAGGTAGTAAATGTGATATAAATAGCATTTTTCGAACTGCATATAAACAGTAAGTTCTCTTAGAAAAAAAAAAAAACTGCTTTTACAGTACTGGTTCACCCCTTCTTTACTCTTATTTTTGAAATAACAAAAGATTGTTCTTGACTAATTTTTATTCCTTTACATGCATCAGCGAGAGCCAGAATTTCGGCCACCAATGTCGGAGGTGGTGCAACAGTTGGTGCGGCTAGTGCAGAGCTCTGCTGCGAACATGAGAGAGGATTTTGGTCTCGGGGCATCTCGTCACTCCAGTGCCATGAGCAGCAGGAAAGAAGATCTGGCAGCTTCTCGTCGCTTGACTGACTTTTGATGATGGTGGCGAAAAGTGGACGATGATTTTCATTTTGATCGATATCATGTAAGCATATAAAAGAGAGACAGATTGAGTCATTTCCTTTAAATGTTTATCTCAGTCTGCTCTGGCCGCCCAATATTTTTAAGTAGTTCGACTTCAAAATTAATCTCATGAATTCTGGGCCCTAAAGTTCTCCAAGGCACTCTAGCTTGTTCACTATAGGAGAAGCAGATTTGAGAAAAAAAAAAGTTATTGGAAATTGATCATGGGGGAGTACAATGGGTAATTCAGGAAAGTAAAACATGTTTAGAGTCTGATTTAAAAATTTTGATCTGTAACACCCAACCGATCTTTGGCTTAGCCCAAAAGCTCAAATTGTTGAATGTTTGATCAAATTTAAACAAATTTCAAATTACTTTAATTTTCACAATTCTTGATTGTTTGAGGATTGAGAGACATTTGAGATTGAGTTACAATTCCAAGCTATTTGTTTTCCATGGTTGTATTAAATTGGTGAAATTTGACTGTTAGGCTTTGTTTGGGTTTAAGGGATTTTATTCATCTCTTATTAACTTGGCTTCATTCCTCCAAATATAGCATTACGGAAAAAGAATACTAAAGTTTTGTAGCGTGCTTATACTTAAAACCATGTGGAGGAGGTGTAGAGTGAGTGTGACGCCCTAATCCTGAGATACGTCTAGCATCGATACGTGATGACATAAAGTACTTATGAAGCTACCATCCCCTGCTTCCGAAACATGACCAAAAACAACCCAATAGTTTAATAACGTAGTAACTTTTTCTTTTATTTCATGGTTGCATCTAACCTCTGCGTTAGACTCCCTACGTACCCTAAGGCAGGATCAAGCCATTCGTAGTTCACCCTTTGTTTATTCCGACATTTTTCATGGTATTTTATAGCAAAAAACATAGAGTTCTAGAATCACTTAATGAAACTCTATAAGCATGGATCACAAGATTTCAGACTACTTAACGAAACCATATAACAACTAGGATGGTCATACCATCTTTCACATATATTAATCAATCATTAAGATCATATATTACTTTACTAGGTTTAATAAAGCCAACATCTGTAAGGTTTGTCGTATTTCTCTACCTGAAATCCAAATCCAACACTATAACCCTAAGTTACAACACAAACGTACCAGACCAACTTCTATGCACCAGAATTTAGGGTTTTTGACACACTTATCGAATAAGGAAGGGAAACGAAGATAGGTTTCAAACCACTCAACGGAACTGAGTAGAGCAAGGGATTCCAAACCACTAAACGAAATGTATGGTTCCCTAACACAGATTAACCAAGCAGGACCACTTATGGATCTAATGTGACCAAGTAGGTAATGACCCCCCAATGCGAATTAACCAGCCGGAGTCACCCCCAACATGCGAATAGTCCCTCAATCTAGCTTAACCAGGTAGGACCATAGGCAAGCATTCAATAGTATGGTCCCCCAATGCGAATTAACCATGTGGAATCACTCATGGAAGTAATGTAACCAAGTAGGTAGTGGCCATTAAATATGGATTAACCAGGAGAAGTCCCTCTTAGAGCGCATGGTTCCTCAATGCAGATTAACGAGGCGAAACAAGCCTCCAATAGTGTGGTTCCCCAATGTGGATTAACCAGGTGAAACCACCTATGTAAATGATGTAACAAGGTAGGCAGTGATCCTCTAATGCAGATTAACCAGGCAGAGTCACCCTACAATGCGTATAGTCCTCCAATGTTTATTAACTAGGCAGGACTATAGGTACACACATAATAGTATGGTCCCCCAATGCGAATTAACCAGGCAGGATCATTTATGTACCACCACTACATGGTGTAGTCACATCATCACACATCATTTATCCCATATCCTACAACATCCATCAATTCAACATAAATTACAATTGTAACATACACATTATCCAAACACATGACTTACCAAATATCTTGTCATACAGACATACAAGTTCTACATAATACTTCTAATGTGACTCCTAACTCATCTTTTCATGCTAGCAATTACACATATCATTCAAATCATCTAGGAGTTTAACAAACACGTAAATCATGGTAAGGTGCCACTTGCACGCAAATTGAGGTGCACATCTCCAAGATGGCCCGCATACTGGATTATGACCACTCAACAGAACTGAATAAAGAAAGGAATTCGGTACCACTTAACATAATATATCTTTAGAAGATGTATGGTCCCCCAATGCTGATTAACCAGGTAGGACCACCTATAGATCTAATGTGACCAAGTAGGTAGTGACCCTTCAATGCGGATTAACCAGGCAGAGTCACCCTTAGAATGCGTATGGTCTCCCAATATGGCTTAATTAGGCAAGACTATATGTAAACATCTAATAGTATGGTCATTCAATATGGATTATACCAGGCAGAACCACCTATGGAAGTAATGTAACCAAGTAGGCAGTGGCCACTTAATATGGATTAACCATGCGGAGTCACTCTTAGAGCGTGTATGATCCCCAATGCGGATTAACCATGGGGGACCATAGACAAGCCTCCAATAGTGTGGTTCCTTAATGTGGATTAATCAGGCGGAACCACCTATAGAAATGATGTAACAAGGTAGGTAGTGACCCCCAATGCAGATTAACCAAGCGGAGTCACCCCTACAATGCATAAGCCCTCCAATGTTGATTAACCAGGCAGGAATATAGGCACACACATAATAGTATGGTCCCCTAATGCGGATTAACCAGGTGGGATCATCCATGTACCATTATTACATGGTGTAGTCACATCGTCACATCATTTATCCCACATCCTACAACATCCATCAATTCAACATAAATCACAATTGTAACATACATTATGTAACATGCACACTATACAAAAACATGACTAACCAAATATCTTGTCATACAAACATACAAGTTCTACATAATACTTCTAATGTGGTTTCTAACTCATATTTTTATACTAGCGATCACACATATCGTTCATATCATCTAGAAGTTTAATAAACATGGAAATCACAGTAAGGTGGTGCCACTTACACGCAAATTGAGGTGCACATCTCCGAGATGGCCTGCTAACTGGAGTAGGACCACTCAACATAACCGAATAGAGAAAGGAATTCTGCACCATTCAACGAAATTCATCTTTAGAGGAAGTATAGTCCTCCAATGCGGAATAACTAGGTAGGACTATCTATAGATCTAATGTGACCAAATAGGCAGTGACCCTCCAATGCGAATTAATAAGGTAGAGTCCTTAGAATGCGTATAGTCCCCCAATGCGACTTAACCAAGCAGAACCATAGGCAAGCATCCAATAGTATGGTCCCCTAATGCGGATTAACCAGGCAGAATCACTTATGGAAGTAATGTAACCAAGTAGATAGTTGTCACCCAATACGGATTAACCAGGCGGAATCTTTCTTAGAGCGCATATGGTTCCTTAATGCGGATTAACTAGGCGGGACCATAAACAAGCCTCCAATAGTATGGTTTCCAATGCGGATTAACTAGGCAAAACCACCTATGGAAATGATGTAACAAGGTAGGTAGTGACCCCTCAATGTAGATTAACTAGGCAAAGTCACCCCTACAATGTGTATAGTCCTCTAATGCTGATTAACTAGGTAGGACTATAGGCACACACATAACAACTTTGATCAATGACCAAAGTCTCACGTGCTCAAGAGGTGGGGAGTGGGTTTGGCCAATGGATCTCCGATACCTAAGTTAGTAACTCTAAAAAGAGTGAGTGTTGAAGGTTTATTCGCGTAGCAAAAGCTTACCAAAGTTTAATAGAGATGAGGAAATAATATTCCCAAGATATTAATTAGGAGATTATATCATGAGATGGTGATGAAGGTTTCCTTGATTGACTGTGGTGAGGATTCCTTACTTATTTAAGTTGACCTTCAATTGGAAATGTATTAAATATAGGAATTTGTTGTTAATCCTCTTTTTAATGCCTTTGACTTTTCCACTACTTGAACTTCTAGGGATGCTGAGCTGCATGTGGGAATATTTGTGTGTCTTATTCATTTAATAAGGACAATCTTGTCTTTTTTGGGATAAAGTCCACGTGTTGCCTCTAGGATTTTTGAGATTATTTATGGCTCCAGAAATGCCCCCACACTTACTGGGCTACATGCAGAAAAGGGCAGTAGGTATAGAAATCCCAAGTTGCGTAGGTGAGCAAAGAGTAATTTCCAATTTGATGTAGACCCACCTCTTTGATTTGGAGATAGAGTCTCTAGGAAAGGTAAACAATTGTCGCCAAAACCTATTTAAGTCTAAATTAATTAGATGGTTAAATAAATTTGGAAATCATTTTTTATCCCAACAAGAAAAAGAGAAAACTAGAGGAAATTTATTCCCTTTCCCTTAATCTTCTTCTTTGCTTGGCCTTGCAAAGATTTGTTTGTCTTCATTGTTCTTTTTCTCTAAGCCACACTATGGCAAGAAAAATTTAATTTTCTTTCTTCTTTATTCTAGAGCCTCAGGGCTTGATAAAATGGCTCGGGAAGGGCCGAGGATGTCAAAAAACGTGGCTGGGCAGTCATAGGGTAGTTGGAATCGACTCGGGTAAGCTACTGCAGGGATGTAGCACGGTTAGTTGGGTTGGGCTGGCTCGAGTTGAGGTGCTGACGGCGCGAGTTGGGCTCGGTGCACACGGTTAGGGCGCATCTGGCTTGAGCCAAGAGCATTGGGGCGTTGGTCTTGGGCGAGTTAGGCTCGACCCAAGAGAGGGCAAGATGAATAAGGAGGTCACAAACATCTGGGCTGCTTGAAGCCGATGCAGGCAGGAGTTGGGTCATGGGGCCTAGCCTGCTGAAGTGAGGTTAAGGCCTATCTGATTTAACTGAGAAAAAGTGGGAGCATATGTCACATCCTGGCCCAGGGTGGATCACTTCCCAGGCCCGCTCCACCATCGTAGCACGATATTGTCCGCTTTGGTCCCCGACCATATCCTCACGGTTTTGTTTCTAGGAACTCACACGAGAACTTCTCGATGGGTCACCCATCCTAGGAATGCTTTCGTGCGCTACTCGCTTAACTTCGGAGTTCCCATGGAACTCGAAGCCAGTGAGCTCCCAAAAAGGCCTCGTGCTAGGTAGGGATGAGAATATACATTTAAGGATCACTCCCCTGGGCGATGTGGGATGTCACAATCCACCCCCCTTAGGGGTTCGACGTCTCCGTCGGCACACACACTACCAGGGTTAGGCTCTTATACTAATTGCGAGTTTCTCGTCCTTCCGTTTTGGGTAAGCCTCAAAACACTCCAAATGCTTCCCTTTTCATCCTTATAGTTCTTTTCTAACCTCGTGGTTGTGTTTTGGACGTCAAACCACGAAGAAACCACCTCGGAGACATTTCCCCAGTTTTCCAGTGAGCACCGCACCTTTCGAGGAAATTTCCGGCCAA